AAAGTATATACTCTATTCGATCAGCACCCTCCATAAACATAAAACAAATTTGATCAGTATATACTAGTTGCACTAGTATGACTCACAGATGAACTAACCTGCTCCGTTTGATTCCATCCGCGATGCCGTGTTGACGGTATCACCGAAAAGGCAGTATCTTGGCATCTTGAGACCAACAACGCCAGCCACACAAGACCCTATTGTTGGTGCATTGAAAAAAGTAAACTACACGCACACGGATAAAACAAAGTTTTACGATATATCAACGTTTAAAGTAGTGTAATTGAATTGTAAACATGCAGTCAAGTTCAAAATTGCTACTCACCCGTGTGTACCCCAACTCGAAGCTTTATTTGTTCATCAGGCTTGTGCCTGATTCGGAAATCTGACACAGACTTTAGAAGAGCCAACGACATCCGGGCAATTTGGCATGCATGCTGCTTACCATTCGGAATAGGGAGACCCGACACTACCATGTACGCGTCCCCTATCGTCTCCACCTGTAATCAGTAAGTTACACCAGATAGTGTAGGTTCGGTAATTATAGGATTCCGAAGGAGGTATTATTCGCGCAATGTTGCCGTGAAATGCCTCCAGTGTGAACGAAGATACTAAAACTACACCTTAACTAGACTTGCTTGCATTCTGTTGCGATTCCGATGCAAAATTCTTGAAAAATAAATATAAATTGCGTAAACTAGGGGTGAACGCGAAAGTCATGTGACCGCGAAATCCCAACAGACTTGCCATCAGTGTAAGCGCCCTCACATTGCCGACCAGAATCGAGCTTGTAATGATTGACATGTCTAATATGTTGCAACCAATCAGAAGACAGGCATATCAACCGAGACCCCGGAAACAATACACACTTTCTTGGATAAACTTATATCCCGAAAATTGTACCCACTTTATCTTATCCGAATCGCATATGCCATTTTATTTTAAATTGAATTTCAAAAAAACGTGCAATGTTATCAGGAGAATATTTGGAGCGAGCCTTAAAAGTATTAGGATACCAAAGCCTTCGTGGATATCAGCGAGAGGTCGTGGAGGCCTACTCAGATGGCCGAGACGTTTTCGTGTCTGCGCCTACAGGCAGTGGAGAATCACTGACTTTCGAAATGGGTCCGTTTCGTATCGACTACAGGCGATGTGGCGAGTTTAATGAAAACATAGCGCGAGACAAGTAAACACGGGCACGTCCGGTTTATTGTTATGATCCGTGGCTCGGCTGCTCCACCCACCGTAAGACGTATATGCAAATTTACAAGCCCAAATCTGGCCAATAATGCGAGGGCGCTTACACTGATTACAGGTCTGTTGGGATTTCGCGGTCACATAACTTTCGCGTTCACCCCTCGTTTACGCAAATTATATTTATTTTTCAAGAATTTTTCATCGGAATCGCAACAGACTGCAAGCAAGTCTACACCTTAACTTAACAAACGGGGACATTTATAACTTTTGTTTCGAACGCATGAGAAGTATATCCATTTCATTTTTTTTTCTCGAATTTCCCGGAAAAAAACCTGTTAATTACCTTTCATGGAACATGTCCCGAAGATTGTGTAAGTTACCCGCATTTTATTAAATTTCATGCTGAGTTTCAAAGTATATCACTTTCCC